GCGCATTTTTTCCACATACAAAGCTGCAATATCAATATGTGCGAATAATATGCTATAAAGCAGGCTTTCTTCAGCAATAAAAAATATCATAAATGTAGAATTAATGGTATTCTTTAGTGAATGGTCTTTTGTGATTTGGCGTGGGAAGTAGTTGTAATAAGAGCTCACAGAACTGTATACATATACATATATGTATATACTTGTAGTAGTAACAATTTAATCTGAGGCGGATGACTTGTAACTATTTAAAGAAATATTTAAAAAAAACTTCAGTAGCGCCGAAACTGTAAAATTCTACAGAAATAAAATGTAAAAAAACTTAATTTTAATTGATCAGTTTGTAAGGCAGCCATATGATATAGTGATCCGATCTGAACGAATTCTTAAACTTTTATAGCCTTGCTTTAGACAATAATCTGTGCCAAATTTCGTGAAGATATCTTGTCAAATTGAAAAGTTTTCCATACAAGGTTTTAAATTTAATGGATCAGTTTGTATGACAGCTATATGCTATAGAGCTCCAATATCGGCGATACTGACCAATGAACAGCTTCTTGGTAAGAAAAGAATGTGTGCAGAATTTCAGATACATATCTCAAAAACTACGGAATTAGACTGCAGATATACGGATGGTTAGCTCGTCACGCTGATCATGTATATGTAGGTCTCCAACGTTTCCTCTTGGGTGTTAAGAATTTCGCGGTAAACTTATCATACACGGTTCGGTGTAGCAACAGGTTCTGGTGGATTTATCGATATTGTACCAAAAACTGTTTCCAAAATATTTTATGTGAAAGTTACACAAGCTTAATAAGATTTTTCTAAAATACCACAGTTGAAATAATATGTCATCTAATCCTTTAATGATTTTTACATACGAATGGACTGTCTTTAAAAGCTTATAGAAAAGGCTTTGTATGATTTCTTTACGACAAATGAAGCACGAATAAACCGCAATTTATAAACCCACTACCCATCCTAGTAAAATATTACTTCGATTGAAAGTATCCAATAAGGCTTAGATGGAAACGAAGCCTTATTACATTCCAAAATCAATATTTAATATATACAAGTACTCTATGACAGTTTGATTTTTTAAAAAGTATAAAACAATTATCATCAAACATTATTCTGATCAATTCGTTTTTTTTTACCAATGAGTTTTATTTGACTTTCATATAAACCGTCTGGAACCCCTGAAGCTATAACCGAGCTTTAGAAAATTTTATTTAAATTTGTTTAGAGCCTATTTTCATCAACTTCATATTATTATTAAATTACAGACAGTATTCTGATAAATAATATCACAATCTTGCAATATTTTATAATATTGTAATTAAGAAAACTCACTAGGTGGCGCTATGATGGAAATATTTAGAAATTCCGGATTACCGAACTCTTTTTCATACTTATAAATAAATTAGTTAGGTAAAAATGTGGGCAGGGATTGGGTTATTGCCAAAAACAGAGCTATTTTAGTAACCTTGTGTCTTTCGAATTGAGTTTCGAAATTGCATATTTGTATTTGTCGTTCCTATTAACTAATTTTAATATCCCGATAAGTCGTAAATCTATGCATATTTAGAAGCCATAAAATCAATATAAATGCGTCATTGTAACAGCTTATTTCATTGACAAAGATAGAATCGTCTAACAACTCATTCACAAAATCAAAAATATAATTTTTTTTAATAAAATTTTTTTGATACAAATGTCGAAATGTTTTTAGACACGTAAGCCACACGGCATCTATATATGGAGCAGAGCAGACTTTATGACGTTACAAATTCTTTACACTATATATAAAATTATAATTACGTCCAAGACATTATATTAAGCGACGAAGCAGGGGTGGGGAGCGACTAACGCCTATTTCAAAAATGTACTTACACTTGAATAATTCATAATCAGCTGTTTGTGCGCTAATTTATCAAAGTAATCCACAGCAAAATGTAATGAGAAAATATTTTTACAGCAAATTCCGCAATTCACTCCCAGACCTTAGAAACGCACTCGCAAATTTTATAGAGCTCCCGCTTCTAGCTATTGCTGCTAAAAAAAAAATTTTGTACGAGCATGTAATTGCTTTTGGTGTGCTCAGCGCAGCAGTGTGTTAATGCAATTTGAAATTATTGTCACGTCGCAATTGGTGTTCGTGCCATTGTGTAGAGTTCAATTTGGTCGTTCAACGCAGCATAGAATTGTTTTCAATTTAAATTTATTTGTAGTCGTTATATTTGAAGCGCACAATTTCTTAATTTTGGTCTGTTTTCAAAACGGTGTTAATAAAAATAACAATAGCTACAAACGTGTGTTCAATCTGGGTTGTTTTTGGGTTCAAGGCGTTGTGAGGTGACCCCTCATATTGGGTTTTCCGCCAAAGAAGTCGGATTACAAGCCAATATTTTCACAGATATATTTGTGAGAAGATAATTTGTTAAAGTGATAGTAGCGCAAACAGTTAGACTTGTTGCAAAAAACTTTTTTATTAAATTAGCATGAAATTTTTTAGTGAGAACACTTTTACTAAAACTGTTCCCAGCAAAATTTCTAAAACTTCGTATGATTTTTGTAAATAAACCGACAAAAAGACTGTTATTTGCCAATTTGCAAGTGAGAACAGTTCCAAAAAAGTGTTCCTAAATAATTAAATCAATTAATGTGCTTTGTTCACGTTTAATTTATCCTTCAATTTCCCTGAACTCTTTATACATATATACTAGCATTGAGGCAGAAAATATTCTGAAATACTATTGAGGAGAGTTGTTGAGTTTGCAGTCATTGGTCCAATAAAAAATCGGTTTCGTAAATCCAACTCACGCGAAAAAGAGAATTAAAGTTCGAAAGCTTATAAAAGTCCTCGTAACGCTGACATGCAAAGAAGTCGTTATGAATTTTAAATTTGTTTGCTCCCTCTTTTCTTTTTAAAATAGATTATTCTCCAAAATTTTCCATTAAACTAATATTGCAATAACTGTAGTACAAATTTTCCATATTTTTTGCATTTTCAGGTCGTTTCGGACGTGTCATTGTCATACCTAAGGATGGCAACGACAATATGTTGCGGCGTGAGACCTTCCAAGAATTGCGACATCTGGATGATCTCATACAGAATGCAACCGTCGAATATGAGGGTGAATTATTCACTTACAAAGATGCATGTGCACGTTGGGAGAATGAATGCTTTCAGAATGATATATTGAATTTAGATTTCATAATGGACGACGTAAGTGGCATTAAAACTTATTTTCATTTTAAAAAAAGTTAAACTTAAATTACATCACATATCACTCTCTGCTTCAGATTGAGTCCGGCGAACTGAATCTCACTTTTCCAATTATGTTTAATCCGGTCACGTGGGATGCGCACGCGTTTCCCGTCTTCTTTGGTGGCACAAAATTGACGGAGGATAATATAATTATTAGTGTGCCGGCAATACAGTTAGTTTATTTTGTGACTGCGGATACTAAACGGCAAGATGCAAAGTAGGTTATTATTTTACTTAAATTTATATACGAAATTAAATATATTTTGCTCATTTTGCACACGCAGAGGTGCCGAATGGGAAGAGACTTTCCTGAAAGTTGTAGGTAAAGCTGAAAATTCAGGTCTCTTCAAACACATATCAGTCTCATATTTCGCCTCACGCACTTTGGATCATGAGTTGGAGAAGAATACGCGTACTGTGGTGCCATATTTTAGCTCAACATTCGCATTAATGGCGTTATTTAGGTAAGTAAAAGTAAAATATTACTATAGTTTGTAGTTTTTTTGTTAAATATGAAGAAGAAAAGTTTTTGGTAAGTGAGAACAGTTTAACATAAACTGTTCCCATCAACCATTTCCATATTTTTGCATTTCTATGTTATGGTTAGACTTTTAACAATTTTTGTGTAACTGTACCCAGCCAAGTTTACATATTTAGCAGCATAATTTTAGTTTTGACCGTTTTATACGGATATTACAACAATTTTCTTTCACATCCAAAATGTATAACTTAGTTTTAATTACGTTAATATTTATGTTCATTACAGCGTCATCACGTGCATGATGGGCGACGCCGTACGCTCCAAACCATGGCTTGGTTTGATGGGCAACATATCGGCTATCATGGCCACTTGCGCGGCCTTCGGTCTGGCCATGTACTGTGGCATTGAATTTATCGGTATCAATTTGGCAGCACCCTTCCTAATGATAGGTGCGTTCACACAATTACGTATAGTTTATTATGCTATACACACTTGGAAATATACATACGTACATATATACTTACAAATATTTAATTTTAATTTCTCGTTCCCGCACTCTGCAAGGTATCGGCATTGACGACACATTCGTAATGTTGGCCGGCTGGCGGCGCACACCGGCCAAAATGCCTGTGGCCGAACGTATGGGCCACATGATGTCTGAAGCCGCTGTCTCCATAACAATCACGTCGCTCACCGATCTATTCTCATTTTGGATTGGCATCATTAGTCCGTTCCGTTCGGTACAGATTTTCTGCACCTATTCGGTATTCGCTGTTGTCTTCACTTTCGTTTGGCACATCACTTTCTTCGCCGCCTGCATGGCGATATCGGGTTACAGGGAACGACACAACTTGCACGCGATTTTCGGTTGTAAAGTGCAGGCAATGTCCGTGGCCATAAAAGGTGAGTCCATTTTTTTGCTGTGAATTATTAAAACTTTGCATGCTTTGTTAGTTACTATTGTTCCTACTGTGGTAAATTGCTTTTGTTGTTGCCAATTGCCTTACAAATGCAAGCGATACCTACAATTCGACGGCGATGGCGGCGGCCTACAACTTTCACAAATCGCATTACGTGTATATAAAAATAATTGTTGTTGTATACAATTTACAAGTACAACAAATATTTATTTCCGTTCATTATCGCAGCGCCGGCAACAGTTGAGTTTTCAAGACATGTTTTCGCCATTTTCATGGTTCATTAAATTGTCTCGCTTCGGCCGGCTGTCGTTTCGTCTGCAAACATCACTTTTATTTTCTTTTACTCTGCGCACTCTTTATTACTTCACTTTGCTTTTTTTTTACTGCTTTTTCAGTTATTTATTTTCCCAACTCTTTTTGAGTTTGTTTCTTTTATTGACTTAACCTGCATTCGCACATTGATTTTTTTTGACTTTGCAAAGCTTTGTTAGCTGTCGGCTTTGTTGACGGCGTACGCTAACTGCATTCAAAGTCTATGGTTTGCCGTATAACTCTTTTGTTACTTGGACTTTGCCATCGAGTCTTTTGTGTCTTTGGATTTTTTTGTGCATTGTAACTTCCAATTTTCTGCTGTCTTTTATAAGCGTGTTTGTATTGGTTGTCTTTGCCTCGCAGCCCCTAATTACCACATATAACAACCGAACAAGTAGCAATCGGCTGACAGTTGATGGAATGATTTTTGCTACTGTTGACTTTTGTATAAAATAAAACTTTGTTTTAAATTATAAACTTTATTTGCGTAAAAATTAAGTATTGCATAAACTTTCTTAGATTGGCCCAAATTTTGAAAAAGGTGAATCGAACAAACAACTAGCTTAAATAAACTAGGCGCGCGTAACAAGCAAAGCAAATATTGAAAAAAGTTATAGTGCTCGAAAGTGGGCTTCACATACAATATTGTATTAGAAAAAACTCGAATACTTTGAGTATTCATCATATAACTTTTTGTTACTTCTATTCTAGTTACGATCGGGACATCTCTTACAGTTAAGGATTCTGCTATAGTTGATCATCTAATTAAAGTTTATTCTCTCAAATGTATATCCTTTTGGTTTCATTTTTAATATTAAAGTCAATTTCGAAAACCAAATTTATAAAAATATTATTTGTGGGCAGCTTTTGTAAAATAAAGTATTGCATACATTTTGGCGCATTCATAGAATTTAGTTTAGTTTTAATTATTTTCATTTATGGCTGAAATATGTTGCTTAATTTTTTTTTTCAATTTCCGCGCTATTCCGTTAATTTTGTTTCCTTGAGAGGCTCTGAATCTGTGTTAAAAATCTGATTTACAGTTATCTCCAGAGAAGAAGTCTATTGAGTGAATGGCAACGCTCCAAGAGGGCATTTGGTTTCATCTCTTTCGATTTCACTTTTTCATACATATTATACAGTCGAATACCTTTCTGAAAATAAGTAGTTGAGTTTAGGTAAAATAACTGAACCGCCAAGATGGTGCTGGAGTTCTACTGGAGTGCTATATACAGTCCTTTGTGAATCTATAAAATAGAACTCCTAGAATCAGATCTTATAAATCGATAAAACGCCTTGCGGCCAATGCAAATCTGCTTAGTCGTTTTATTTATATTCCCACTAGCTTACCGGCATGTCTAAAAGTGTTACATCCGAAGTATTGTAATTAAGTCTTGATCTGACAATGGTGAGATATTCGAGAAGGTAGTGTTGAGATTATTCTATCTCATGCTCTTCCAAACAGCTTATACAACTGGCAACCCATATAAGTAAGAAATGAGAAAAGTTTGCTCTTATAAGATTTTGAGATTTTTTTAACATGTTATAACTAGCAGTGGCTAATCGGTCGGGAAATGTTATCTAACAAACTATAACCTGGAATTAGCAAATATAGCATAAAGCTCTCTTCATTCCACTCTTATTTACACCAAGAGCAGCTAAATAAGATCAAATTTTAGTTTTCCTAATATACTTGTAATACTTGAAGTGGAAAATATTCATATCTCAATCGAATCGGACCTCACATAAACATATATATTTGTATTCACGCAAAATCACACGTACTTTCCCAGCATACGAGCAAATGCAGCTGGTAAGCTCACCCCATTATATGAACCAATTTGTAATGACGAACATCAGTCAAATAAACCACTTCTTGCTACATAGGTATAGCTGCCAACTCTATTAATCTCAACATAATTAACTGATTCGTTGTTTTATGTAGACCAAAGCCTAGTGAACTTGAAAGTCGAAGATGCCAACTAATAAAG